TGACTTTTTAGGTTATATCATTTCAAAAAATTGACTTATGATGGACTCTAAGAAAGTTCAAACTATTATGAATAGAAAGATCTTCAAAAGGTCCATGAAGTCCAATGTTTTTTGGAATTTGCCAATTACTATTGAATCTTCATCAAGGACTTCTCTTGAGTTGCAGCTTCACTTACATATTTTACTTGTAAAGACAAACTTCAATAGAATTAAGAAGTAGAAGCAACATTTGAAGCTTTAAAGACAACTTTTATTTTTGCACCAATTTTGTATCGTGTTGACTTTTATAAGATATTATTTATGGAAATAAATGCATCAAACTTTGCTTTAGGTGTCATATTATCATAAATAGAATAAATGATAAACTTCACCTAATAGCTTTTTATTCTGAAAATTTTTTAGTAGCCCAGATTAATTATGAGATCTATGATAAAGAGTTTTTTGCAATTGTGGATTCTTTTCAAGAATGGAATCATTATCTAAGAGATGCTTCTAATCCAGTCACTATGTATACTGATCACAAGAACCTCAAGTATTTTATGTCATCTCATATTTTGAATTGTTGCTAAACTCATTGAAGCATGTCTTTGTCAAGATTTGAGTTCAATATAACTTATCGACTAGGAAAACAACAAGGTTTATCCAATGTCTTTTTTAGACATTCTTATTTTATACTTAAAGAAAAAAATATAGCTTTTGATTAACAAAGAATAATTTTATTGAAGCCAAAACTATTTCATTTTGAAGTAGTGAAATCAATATTGATTGTTGATTTAATTTTTCTCAAATAAATTCAATCAAGTATGTCTTTTGATCTTCTTATTCATGATATCAAGAATACTTCTTCTAAGTCTTGTGATACTTCTAAATTTGAGTTCAAGAACAATCTACTTTATTTCAAAAGATGCTTATATGTATCAGAAGAAGAAGCACGTTTATATGTTCTTCAAGCACATCACAATTTTCCAGCAGTAGGACATTTTGGATACAACAAGATCCTCGACCTAATATCTAGAGATTTTTGGTGGCTACAAATGTGGAAGTCTATAAAAGACTTTGTTTAATTGTGTGAAATTTGTTCATGGTCAAAAACTCTTCGGCATTGACTTTATGGACTTCTGCAACCATTAGTTATTCTAGAACAACCATGGTCTTCTATTTCTATGGATTTTTATTACGAATCTTCTAATCTTACGATCATTTGATTCTATATTTGTGTTGGTAGATTATTTTACCAAAATAGCATATTTTATACTATACATAAAATCTATTACACTTGAAAAAATTACAAAGATTTTTCTTGATATATCTATTAATATCATGGATTATCGGAAGATATTATATTAGATAGAAGGACTCAATTTGCATCAAGATTTTGGAGTACTCTTTTTAATATTTTAAAGGAGGACATAAAGCTTTCTTTGATCTTTCATCCTCAAACTAATGGATAGACTGAGCGTGTAAACCAAGTTTTGGAGCAATACTTAAGGTATAAGATCAATTATTAATAAGAAAATTAGAGAATCCTCTTATTATTGGCAGAGTTTGCTTATAATAATACAATGCATTCTTCTATACAATAAACATCTTTCTTTACCAATTATAATTACCATCTACGACATGATACTTTTGACTTTTTAAAAGTTAAAATCCTATGGGAGAAGGTTTGGCAAATCATTTGTTAGAGCTACATACAACAATAAAGGTACAATTAAAAGAAGCTCAAGAATAATAAAAGATCAACGGGGATGTCTATCAAAAGGAATAACCACAATTGAATGTACGTTACAAGGTATGGTTGCTTCATCATAATATTAAGACTACTTGTCTTTGTGATAAGTTGGACTACCATAGGTTTGGATCTTTTTCTATTTGTAGACAAATCAATCTAGTTGCTTATTGATTACATCTATCAGAGGGAATGAAGATCCATCGTATCTTTTGCATATTTCTTCTTAAATCATACAAGGCTATGAACTTACCAAGAAAAAGACAAGCTCTGCCTCCTTCCATAGAAGTAGACAATAATGAAGAGTTCAAAGTAGAAGAAGTTCTAAAGTCAACACGATGCTGCAATAAATTAGAATATCTTGTCCATTCATGTAGATATGATATTAGTGAATGCACATGGGAGCCAATAAAGAATCTTCTAAATGTAGCAAAGGCGAAAGAGGATTTTTATCAACGACATGTATCTAAATTAAGTTGAAGAATAATAAGTCTTTGTTATAAAAGAAACAAGGTCAAAGGAAGATTGCATTCTATCTTCTATCTTTCTTTGTAGCTTCCATGTATTTATGACACTAAGGAGACGAAGAACCAACAACCAACAGATTCAACTCAAGAGCTTTCATTTGTAAACTTACCAGACGAGACATTGAAATTGTCACAACCTTCAAGATGACAAAATCAAGATGAAGATCTTCAAGAATGACATGTCTTTCCTTAAATAGATGGCAAGATACAATGTGTTTGGTATCACGACTTTGGAAGAGACTCCTAATGTTTGGTGATTTTATTAAAAGTAGAAACAACTCTTAATGATATTTCAAATGTTTTCTTTGAAGGAAGTTATAAAGGCTTCAACAAAATCCAAATAATAAGGTGGTCTTCTTGCCTTGGTATGGGATACTATCGATGGCTGAGAGGGCCTATCAACTATCTTCAAAGAAAACAAAGATCGGAGTATGTTGCAAATATAATTCACTGCATCTTGGATTTTCTCAACATATGAAGATAGCTCCTTGTGGAACTCATCCTTAAAAGGAGGGGAGGTAATATTATGGATATACACATGTAAATCAATAATTACCTATATGATTAAATAAAATTAAGTTAAAGTATGTTAATTCCATAATATCCTCTATAAAAGCTTCCTAGAAGCTTTATAGATACCACTTTGACTTTATAAATGTCTATAATTGACTTTTTAGATTAAAAACGTGGTCAACAAATTGGCCATGTACTACATATATTAGGTAGCTTGAAGAACAAGCTAACTATATGGCCTACACATAAAAAACTTGCCTTGTAAGGTAAGGCATGTGTCTTGCAAAGCCAACACATATTAGGGATCCTATAGAATATCACTACATAGATTTTAGTTAGATAGTATATATAAAAGCAAGAGTGAAGCTTTCTTCATTTTTGTCAACTCCTTTTTTGCTTTTAGTTTAGTTTTAAAAGTCTAGTTTCTTTTTCTTTTAGTAATAGCGATTCTAGTTTCTTTTTAATATATATATTACTTTATTGTTATTTTGTAACTATTATTTTAACTCAAATTTTCTAGGTTTATGCATCTTTTTGTAGTTCATGTCCTTGACAAAAGGAGAAGGATAAAATACTTATATGTGAATCATGTATTATTGGCAAGGCCCATAGATAGCCTTTCTTACACAAGCACAAGCATGCCAATGGTATTTTAGATGTAATAGTATTGATCTTGGTTATTTTGATATATTTAGATTTAATGGTGTCAAAAGATTAATTGTGTAGATTGATAAATATTCAAGCTATTGTAGCCTTGTATTTCTTCAATCTAAAGACCAAGTACATATTGCTTATAAGACTTATAAAGTAGAGGCATAAAGATAAATTTAAAGAAACATAAAAAAAATTCTTATTAATCAAGGCATTGAATTCTTGAATAGTAATCTTGGTTTTCACTTCAAAGGCTTTTAACACATTTTATTTGTAAGAAATGATGCCTATCATGTTTTCATAATATACCTTATTTTTGTAACACAATGTAAAAATTGCCTTTGATCTAGAATTCATGGTATTTGCTAGAAGATAAGATGGTAATATCTCCAAGGCCTTAGAAGCATCACAATTTTTGCCAAGGTCTAAGTTTAACATCTCTCAACTTGTAGTAAACTTCAAAGTCCAAAGATTGACAAAGAAAGAAATGATTGTGCTCTCTAGTACTCATACAATCAACAAGACTGCATGCCACCACATTGACAATAGGATTTACTATTATCTAAGCAAGTTTGGAGTAGATCTTAACATCATTGCCAATCTCGTCAGGAAGATGAAGAAGAAATGTTGCTCTTTTGGACTTCAAAAGTGCATTGTCAACTTGTACACCAACATTTGTATAAAATTTGACTCCAAATACTCTAGCAACTTAGTAGCTAAGAGGGGCATGTTAGTTTTGGACCAAGTGTTGTTGAATGATGTGTCAATGCACCCTTTAGTTTAAAAGAATCAAAACCAAGCAACCTGCTTTACAACCTTCACGAAGGCCATAGTTTTACAAAGGCCATAGTTAAGATGGGCATCAGAGTCCTTCAGGTGACCAAAGCAAAATCTGCAAAAATTGCAGATTCATGAACAAATAGGTTGATTAAAAAGTCATTATTAACTTCTATTATAATATACAATGTTGATCAATCATTGGAAAACTAACTGAATTCAATTTAAAGAAAATGGAATTAGATTTTTGTTCAGTTGACAGAAAATAATACATTCCTACGCACAGGTGATTCATCCCAGCCAAGAGTAATTTGATTCGCAAAGTCTAACTTCACTCTTCATGTTGTTATAAAAGTTTGAAAGATTGAATTACTGCTTGATTGTGCTCAGCAGATACGAACGATGAAATTGAACGATTTGATTGATATTGAGACACTGAAAACCATATTCAGGAGATGTGCTGAACAGTGCTCGCAGCGTCACCAATGACAACAGAGCACCAGAATCAATATGGCTTTTGATCCCTGAATGCTATATTCACCTTACATTCAGATGTACGGTTTCTTTAGTCCAATTATTTATTTATTTATTTATTTATTTTTATTTTTTATTCTTTACTGCGACCAATAATTATCACTCCAGTTCACTAACTCTGTACAACTGCTGTTGTTGCAGCCGCTTGGGAACACTCGTTCCACTCTATCTTACAAGTCATCACGGCTTTATACAACTTAAAGGCTTCAATTCCTCACGTGACATGATTATCAAGTATATGCTCAATAACCAGGCCCAGCACCATCCGCTTATTTCTTGCTCGTTTGCAACACTGATGTGAGCCAGGCGTCTTTCAACTCAGGCCAATCGAATTTCTGAGCACAAAAATTTAACACGCCATGTTAAGCGTGTACTTCGACTCTCATCAATGTATATGAAATCAAAGTTCGAAAAATGCGATATCGTGGTCCAGCTAAACTAACTTGTTTATTTTTTAATGCTGTTAACCGAAACTAATGTGTTGCATGCTTGAAAAAAGTTGGAATACCTTCAGATGCTTTGCCAATCGCAGCACAGAATGATTCGAGATTGTTCCTGGTGAAGGGATAACAATGCGCTCGAATCTCCCTTCAGCCGAAGGCACCACCCGAGCTCGAATTGGTCGATCACCTCGTCGACCTGGCTGCTTGTATACAAAATGGTATACTTTTCCCGGTGGGTACAGCCTTTGTGCCTCCTCATCCTTCTTAGATTGACGCGTTTGCTTCAACCAGAATGTGAAGTACACGAAAATACTCCTGCAAAGCCTAAGTACTTAACCCAGTGCTCATACAACTAGCACACAAAAGACAGTCAAATTCAGCGAGAGAGCGAGAAAGAGTGGGAAGCGAGATCTTTTAGCCTATGTACATTGTCTAATTCATTTCGATGCCTTCAAAAACCTTTACAATCACAAAGCTGAAAATAATGATTAGCAAAACACCCAATGGGATGATATCTTCAGTTGGACCAAGGCTTCTGAAAGTGATGTCAGGTACTTACAACGGCAACGTCACAAGAAAAACTCGCTTCACAGACTTGGTTGATGCTCTGGGCAAGAAATCGTCCTGCTCACTCACAGAATGACAATGTCAGAATGGCTGCTTTGAGATGCACACCATCATATCAAGCTTTAGCTTCCCTCTGTTCTGCACAATGAGCTGTTCTCAAAACGATTCCATTGTGGAAAGACTAGCCTGGTATATCACGCTGTTAACGTATGGAGCGTACTTCAAGGCCAGATCGACTGACATCACCCGCGGCGGAGCGAACAGAATCGCTCGAATCTCGCGTGGGTCAGCCAATCCTACCAGCTCTGGACTCTTCACCAACATCATGATGAATAGAGCAGCCACTCCAGCTCCAAGTGAGTGCCCTACGATTGTTAGCCGGTACCTGCAGACACTCACACCCCCTGAGAGCTCGTCGGTGCAGCTCTGCAATCATGCGATAGTGCGGCAGAACAGTGAACCACCTCAGTGCTCTTTCGGACAATCACTCAGAAAGGATCTCATTCCACAACATTCTCACATCGTGCGCAGCCAGATTTCACGGAGCTTACCCTTTGTTGGATCGGAGTTGCTCCTTCAGAACGGGAGCCACATGTTCCGTCGCCCACTCGGCAGCTTCGGACATACCATGATGCACAAAGCCCTCCTCATATGGCTGCAAGCGAATTCGCAAAGAACCTTCAACCGGGTCCCACTCAACCACAGACCAAGTTCACTTACCAAAATCATGCACCCAATCAGAGCATACCATTTCTGAAAATCTGGAAACATCGCTCTTGCAATTGTTCATGCACACGCTCCTTGCAAAATCCGTACCTTCTCTCCCTTCCTGTTCTTCAGTAGCACAACGTAGTCACGGCGATGCAGGAGGTTGAGGCCTCGGATGTACATGCTCACTTCCTTATATCGGTGATCCACGTATATGAAGTAGGGCGGACACGCCCGGGGGGCCTTGGGTCTATGCAAGTCAACGACAAATCTACTATCAAACTGAGGTTCATGCTCACGTATGGGTTTTATCAAACCATCAATATCATTACCATATGCACCCAGTATCTGCAGAGAGGCATTCAACGATTGTACATTGAAAAACTCGATTAGAAAGTGAAATCTGACTCTTCTGCTTCATCCTGCTTGGGGAGACTAATCACGCTCCATGCGTCCCTCAGAAGATGCAACTGGAAGTCATGAGGAAACAATACCAGTTCACAGACACTTAGAATCTTTACTCTCCTACATGATCCAGATTAGGAGTCTGAGATTTCAGAATACTTCCGATGTTAGTATCAGGGTAAACACGACAGCCATGGCTCACCCGCACACAATGACGAAATATGTCCCTGACTTCAACCACTGGTGCTCTCGAAAATCCTTGAGAGTCTAGAGAACCTTGCCAGAATACTCGATTTTTCCATAATTTGCTATTTCTGCCTCCGACGAGATCTTCATCCCAACTTGCTTCCTCTTGTCGCCTGCTTTCTGCTTTCGTACTAAAGTATTGTCTCAAAGACTTGCCGAGCTTCATCTTCTGCGCTCGCTTGTGTGGGGAGGTTTTCTTTGTATCCACTGCTCGGGCTTCTGGATCCCCTACGTGCACCAGAAACTGGTTACTTGGACCTTCCTCTGTCCCTGCGCCAAGTCAATGTCAGCAGAATACTCGCAAAGGGGAGTGCAGTTTTAGTACCTCTATTTCAATTCATATCACGAACTCGCCCACAATAAAAAGCCGATACTCATCACTCCGACATTGCAAGAAACTGGATCGCATAATCTCTCCTAACCCATGAAAGATTGACACATCTCGACAAAGCCGACTTCACACGCACTGCATTCTCATTAATAAGCAAGTCGGCACGATTTGTTTCCTTTCTCCCTCATGACCACAAATTTGGGACGCATTTCTGCAAATCATCGATTTTGATCTAATCCTCGAACATTGCACAGCTTCTTCTGTTTCAGAGTTGCTCCAGATGCGTCCTCAACCTCGACGCGAACCTCACCACTACCCGCACGAGCCTCTCGTTGCTCACGTCCGAACTTGAGCTGCACGAAGACCTTTCCGTGCAAGTGGAATTGGGAAAACCCAACCCAAACGAACCTGTATTCTACAATTGCCAATTCATGACACTCACCTGCTGCATAGCATTGAATTACCTGCCTCATGCTTTCTCAACGATCCATAAGTAAGTACGCAGCTGCATGACTCGGAGCACGGTAGATGAAACCACCTCGACGGCTCCATCTGCCACGCCTGCAGGGGCACACCTCTGGATCCCAGGATGCCACATTTTCCGTAACGGAGAATGATAAACAAGGCAGACCATGGGCTTCAGAAGCCAGTTTCTCTCGGATAAAAACTCGTTAAAAAGCTTGCAAAAACAACCGCGGAACCTTGTATTATTCTGGAAACAGACGCCAAATCCAGATTCTGCTCTGCCAGTGCGCAAAGTGGTGCCCACGGACGCAGGCATGCTAACAATCATGCCACGGAGAGAGCACCATGGAGCAGAAGCTGGAACGTTTCCATGTGCGTAGGAGTGGATTTGAAGTTGTACCTAAAGTTGCTTCTCAACCACAGTTAGCGACGAAACACTCCAGAAGCAGGCGGCGGTGAGCACGCAATCCTGATCTCCCCCTGCACAATCCAGAACCCAGTGCAGAATCCAGCTCCACTCAACTGGCTTCCGGTGTGAGGCAGTGTGAGCACAGCAAGCAGAGGTGCAATGCCGTGAGCTACAACTCCACTGAACACAATCCTGGTCCACCATTCCCATTGCATACGTAGCTGGAATTCACTCTCCTCGTGTAACTCTGTGCCTTGAGATCATCAGTTTCGGAACCTCACTATACATCAAAATAAGCTCTTTTACTTATTTCAAAGTGGAAGTTGGGTTGTATGCTCAATCTTTTACTCCAGGGCTTTGAGATGAAGAGTGAGATTCAAGCAGTTGAGACTTGGTGTTTGCTGTTACTGGGTTGGTAGCATTCCGGCTGGACGATACCCATAACATCAAACTCTGGTTGTTGTTAACATTTTGCTGGTGTATTGATCTAGATAATTGGCAACATGGGATCTAAACAGAGAACTCAGCAATTGAGGCGAATGTGGCATTGTCGAATTGCTCATTTCACTGTGTCTGCGTTTGTTGGTTGTTGGCCTTTCTCCATTTGCCTTAACATGTTTGATGAAAGGTTTAAACAGCATATTTGCTTCAAGTTACATTGTAGACATCCAACTTTCCAAAAAAGGATTTCTAATTTTATATTGGATTATATTCTTCAACAACTCCATTTCTCTACAGCTTTGATAAGATCACAGTAAATGAAGTGTATGTGTCAATCTTAGAAGGTTGGTTTCTACCCTATCCAACTAAATGGATTAAGGTTCTTTTTTCACTATTATTTGAGATTTTATTCGATTTTATTTAATTTTTTTCAATTTTTACATTATTAATAAAACTGGAAAAAGTATTTCAAGATAGTTAGAAATTATTATGAACACAAAATTTTAAAATTACAGTCACATTTTTACATTTTTGTACAATAATTGGTGGCAACAAAAAATAGATCTTTTACATATTTTACAGTAGTATTAAATAAACCAATATAAAATTAGAGATTCTAACAGATTTTGAATTTCTTATAATCTAACATTAGAATCTTTTGACTTATTTTAGCTAATTAATCTTTATAAAAAATAGAATAAAGATTAAAAAAATTAATTCATTCCGCCAATCAAACAATAGTAGATTCTTTAAGATAGTATATTAGAAAAATGCAATTTTTTAAAACCTCTATTTTTATTTTAAAAAAATATTTTTACAAGTTAAAACCAAAATATAACCATTGCATCAAAAGTTATGGTTTTAAAACAACTATAGATAATTTTTAAACATTTTTTTTGTAAAATAATTTGAAAGGCTTGTAAGCTAAAAGAATTTAATTAAAAATACAAAAAACCTATAATTAATCTTTATATAGATGAGAATATAATTATTTATAAAATTATAAAAAAATTATAAATATTAGTTATTATTATTTGAACAAATTAGTAGAATATTTACATAGAATTATAAATTTTTATTTACAACCAATATAGCTCAAAAATATTTAAGAAAAATAATATTATTAATTATTTTAATTAAATTTTAATAGATAAACCAATAAAATAATAATACAAGATTTTAATGTACAAAATCTTTTTTTAAATCTTATTCTTCTACAATATATCAACTTCTATAAAAATATATTAGTCTACTATAAAGATGGATTTTTACCAAGTACAAAACCTTTAACCTCAATGTAGTCTCATATATGGGACAATGTATTGATATTTATAACTAAAAAAATATAAAATTAATAAAAAACTAAAAAAATCTAAAACTAAAAATCTAAAATTTTATAATTAAAAAAGAAACTATATATATTTTTTAAAACTATAAATTTATTTAATAAAATAAAAAAGTATAAATTTAAATTAAATACATAAAAGAAAATAATACAAAATATTTCTTAAATTTGCATACCACATATTATTCGTATTGATGTTTAATTTTTCACAAGGTTATATATTATTTATTATATAATTTGATGTACAACTCCACATTAGGCTATGCATCATCGATTATACAATGTGATATATGGCTATATGTTTCTTACTATAAAATATAATGTATAACTCTATATTTTGGCTATTTGAGATTTATTATATAATTTGATGCATACCTTTGTGCTAGATTATGCATCACTTATTATATAATGTGTTACATAGTCTTATGTAGAGTTATGCTATTACTTATGATAAATATTAATACAAATAGCCCTAAGCAAGATATTGCTCATTATGCAATGCAATATATAATTATATATTTATGATATAACACTACACAAAGTTTTATGGAAGACTCTACATTATTTGCAATAAATAGTTCTATTTTTATGATAAAATATAATATAGAGCCTTGAATAAGATTAGACATTGTTTATGATATTATGCAATGCAAATCTTTTTGCAAGACAATGCATCACCTAAGATATGATGCAATACATGTCCTTGCGCAAGGTTTTGCATTATTTATTGTAAAAATTGAAGATTATGAATTCTTAAAGTTGTAATCTAAATTGATTTGGAATACAACAAGATACATTTTAAAATATTTCTTTATATAAAAATAAATTAAATAAATAAATATAGAAAAAGATTCAAATTAATTAATAAATTATATTTGAATAATTTAATAAAATTTAGACAATTTAATAGGATAAAAATATAAAAAGACATAATTCAAAGCAATTTTAATCTAGAAGCTTATTAAGAAGATTTGTGTCTCTCTAAATTAATATAAAAAGTTTTCATACAAGGTTTGGTATTTTTCATTAACTCATTGCATCTAAATATTGCAATAGTCATTTTTTATCATATTATTCGTATTAGGAATGACAATCATGTTGCTTATGGTTCAATAAATTTTCAATTGATATGAATAAAAAGTGAAACAGATCCTCAAATATTTTCATAATTTAAAATATAGATAAATTTATTTATCTATATAATTCTCTCTCTCTCTCTCTCTCTCTCTCTCTCTATATATATATATATATATATATATAATTTATTTAAACGTAAAATCAAAAATGCATTACAATAGTTTTACTTAAATTTGGGTGAATTGATTTTAACTTATTTAACATTTTTATGTTTTGAAAATTAAAATATATTATATATTATTAAGTATGAAATAAATTTTATTGAATTTATTAAAATATAATTTATTATATATTCCATTTATAATATATATATTTTTAATTAAAAAATTAAAAAATATTTTATGATTATTCTTGTACTATTTAAGATTTTAAATTTATGTCTTTTCAGCAGTTATATCTTTTTAAACTTATATGTTACATATAGTTTTTATAATTTTTTGGATTGTATTAAAGGTCAAAACTTTAGTTTATATAGATCATATATATATGATTTAAATATGTTTAGATATACTTCTCATTTTTATAAGTTAATACTTAATGATAGTTAAATTATATAAATAATTTTTAATATTTTTATTTGTAATTATTTAAATATTTTATATTCTTTCTTATATAATTTTTTAAAAAAATTGAATATTTATATTTTTTTATTTACATTAATGGTTTTGTATTATGATTTTATTTTTTTCAATTCAATAGTGTATATTTTATCTTGTTTTCATTATTGTTTCTATTTTTTAAAAAAAAAAATCGTGTTTTTAGTATTTAATATTCTTTTAAATTTTATGAGTCAAATAGTGTCCAAGTTAGTGCCCAATTTTTGTCCAAGCACTTGTACAAATTTTGAATATTTGAGCAGGTCTTCTTCCACCTCTTTACGGATGATGTTTATTATTACCATGATACTGCTCAAAAAAAAGTTCCATCGTTTTTTCATACTAAAATATTTTGATACATGTGGTTTTGAATACAAATGGCATATCATAGTAATAAATAAGACTAACATCTCATATTTTCTTCAATTTTGGTGGCAATTTATATGTAACTATATAAGTAGATTTTAATTTTTTAACAAAGAGATATTACTAGTTCAACTTCTTATTGTTTATTTTTATTTATGTATATATATATATATATATATATATAAAAAAGAGAATCTACATGTATGTATGTATGTATGTATGTATGTTGCAAAAATAAATAAGATCGAACTTTAGAGAAATTCATGGCATGCATTACAATGTTAACCATTGTCTCTAAATTGCAATATATTAATTGAGTAATTAGGATTTCATTTAAAAGCCGAACTGCCATTCATCACTACTTATTTGACTAATCTACTATTTATGCTTCAATTGTGATACACAACCCAAACAACTTTAGAGATAAGAGAAATTTTTATGGTTAATTAAAAATTAACTTTTTTATTTTCAATTGGATATAAATCATTAAATAAGGGTCATTTATTTAAAAGCAATTAAAATAAATATTACTTTTAAAATATATAATTAAATACAGATCATATTTTTATCTTTCTTGCACACTTGCAAATTGGTATACATTAATGTATTTTATTTTCTTTATGTAAAAATCTATGTTATCTTTGTGATCAATCTTTGTGGTCAGATTCTTCTTTTGTTTACTAATTTTTTTAAATACAAAAAATGTGAGAATTAAGATAGCTGGTGGTAACATCATTTTTATGTTTTACAAGTTACAAATTATATATATATATATATATATATATATATATATATAATTTAATTTTTTATGTGATTGTGATTGTAATTTTTATGTTTTTCATAGAAATAATTAATTTAAAGTAATTTTTTATATAATTTTATAGATAATAATTTTATAGGAATATCACATTTTTTATTTCTTAAGATAATATTCAATGAAAATATTCTTTATTTTGATTAGATGATTTTTATATACACCCCAAATTATTTAATTTATGTCTCTATTTAATGATATCATTGGTTTTCAACATAAAATTATATTTTATTAGTTAAATAAATGAATTATATTAGTTTCGTAATTATATTACATGTTCTGTAATATTTTATAATTATTAACTATTGATTAATAAATTTTCTTTAAGATATAATTTAACTATGACTTATTAACACAATTATTTTAAAAAATATTTTTATTTTCAAAAAATAAATATCTTTCGTGCAACAAAATTCTTGCTGTTTTTCTAGATGCATAATTTACGGTTTTTTATTATATTACTCTAATATTTGTTTTAAATATATCCTGTTATTTTTTCATAATTTATATTTAATTTTGATTATATTTATATATATATATATATATATATATATATTAATTTCAAGTTTTTCTAAATTATAAATATTAAATGGCTATCTAATTAAAAAATATAATACTTAAATATATAGATTTAGAAATATTAGCAATTAGTGTTTGAAATATATGCTTAAATTGTTTCATATGTATTTGTAACATGAAACATTGCCACAAACATATCATCAAATTCAATCTTTTTTTCAATCAATTATTTTTAATATGTTATAAAATGCTAAAAAACATATATTTTTAAAATTTTAAGTTGATAATGTTTTCAGCAACTAGTATATTTCCAAAGTAATATGAAATTAAATTTAATATATTTAGAAATCGGTAATATTAATTATTTATTTTATGGCTTACATAGTTTCATATTTTTATTTTTTTAATGAAAGTATAATTCAACTAATAACAATTAAAGTTAACAGTCAACTATGGTAATAAGATCTCTACTATAGACACTATGACTTTATTATGACCATGTCTTTTTTGTTTCATATTTCTGAAGCCTCAGAAACTGGGATTGAGAAGCTGTGGACCCGAAACTCATGAACGTGAGACGTGGTTTGCAAAAAGTAATTAGACCCATTTTAATATGGATATTCTCAGCCCAATTCAGGCTCACTTTCAATGCCAGAGATGTTGAACGAATTGGGACTAAGATTCCAGCGTACAAATATGAGTAGACTTGTGCAATTTGTTGGTAAGGGAAGCAGTGAACTTTGATCGGTGTGCATTGTTGGAGGATGTTGTTGACTAGAAGGGTGTCATTCCTGCCGTCTAAGTTTGAAATATTGACAGCACCTGTTTTGTGGAGGAAGAATCTGATTCACAAAAACTTTTTTGATCTCGTGTGCGGTTTATGGTATAAACCCAACTGATCCTTGAAGCTTCAATCTTGCTTGTTTTTTAGTACCCCACAACTGATCGGCATATATCACATTACAAACAAGTACACATCAAATACTCCTTCTAGTTTCTCAGAAAATGAGACAGTTTAAGGGAACCTGCAGTGCACAAAATATACGCCGTTGTCTACACAAGGTTGTTCTTCTCACTCTCATTGTCATAGCGGAAGGAATGACTGCAGACGAGCTCTTATCCCTAAAGGAGTCTGAACTGAACTCCGTTGTCAATCTGGCCACGGAAAACTCCGGCAACTGTGGTACATCTCTAACTTCTTTCTCAGCTCACCCCACCTTAAGATACCCAATATTCCTAACTCGATTGTATGTAATATGCTCCAAGTGTGCTGAAGTAACAATATTTGAGTAACTTCAAGTTGAGTTGATTTGGATCCTGGCTCCTAGCTAGGTGTTCTCTCAAATGTTATATGAAAGATCACCTAGAGAGAGACTTGCATAGAGTGAGACTTGCGCAGGTGTCTGATTCTCTGTGTGTGTTCAAATAAAATTGGATTTGCACATTTATTGTCTCTGTTTGTGTCACTGTGTCCGGAAGGGTTTGCGACCTTGAGACGATCAACCGCTGTACTGGATGTGCAGATTTGCTTAAAGAGTGTGCTGGTGCAAATTGCTCCCGCTTATCTTGTTACCGATACGCTAGAGATGTTTCCCAGTATAATTGCCAGAGCATTTCACTCCCCAATGCCCATTGTGGGCCTAACGTCTCCTGCTTTTGGAAGAACTTTAACTTCAAAGAGGGTGATGTCAGGTGTTTTTGTTCAACCATTAACTCGCTGTTGAGAAGTGAACTTTTGAATATGAGAAGAGAATATTTGGTACAATATTACGCATTGAGATTCATGTCGCAGAATTGGAAAACGGATGCATGGATGATGATGTAAATCAAGGGAAAATTCGGTTGGAATGTGGTGTACAGGCTTGTTCAGCAGGATCAAACTACAGCTCGATCAGTGTGTGCCCAGAGAAAGTTGGATGCTTCTTTCAAAAACATGACCAACAGCACTCATTTCTTCAGAGTGTTTTTTGGATCTGTGGATGGATCATCGAGGCTGTATCCAGGAATGGTAAAAACTGTATACCAGTCAAAACAGGTGGAGCTTAATTTGTACCACTGGAGTGGCTTCATCAGTGTCACAATCCTACTACCTACGATCCCATCATCATATAGAAATTGGTGATCTCTGTACACGGTGGAACTGATTATGTTAGTGGATCCATGGTGGTGGTTAACAATGACTAAGCACAATTTGTTCGCTTGTTCGGCAGGATGAAAGCTGCGTCGGATTTGAATACGATCCTCGAAAACGACCCTGGTAATTGGTGCTTCATACATATCATTTGGGGCGCATGTAATCACTCTATTTCTGAGTTTGAAGTCTTGCTGTCCTTCAGTTGATATTTTCTAATCTTTTAATTTCCAAAGGTCTTAAAGAAATAAAAAAAACATAAAATAACAATAATTATTTATTAAAACAAAACAGGTTTCGCCAATCAATTTATGTTCCAAAAGGTGTCATTGTACTCCTGGACTCGGGACCTACCATGCAGCAGCCGCTCAACGCTGGTACAATGGACGAAAGTTACACCAAAAAAGCACGAAATATAGTGCTTCAGCTTTTGGATACTCTGTCGACAGACGACTTTATCAAAGTTTTGTCTTTCAGTGGGGACAGCTCTAACGTCCAACCAATTCTAAACGATTCTTTCGTAAGTTTCATTTTAGCACCAGTCCACGAGAGTACCTTGATGAGTTTTACCATTCACGAATCCTGGCAACCAAGGGTGATACTCACGAAACCAGTGGTTTGATGTCTTCATTGTTTTATGGGAACTTTACAACATGTTCAAATTTTTGTTGTGATATACCTGCAGACACAGGTGGTTTATAATGATACAAACGGTAATCCCTTACTGAATGATTTGAAAGCTTTTCTATTATCGAATGAATCCGGCGTAAACAAAGAAACCTTGGATCCAAATGCCACAGCCATGAGCAATGCCATCAATACATCAATCTCGCAGTTGACTGTAAACTCAGTTATTCCAGCGAGGTATCTCAAGGTCAGCCACTTTGTCATCTTTAACTTCCCTGTTTTCATGACCACCAATAATCACTTCAATCACCGTTCTAAATCTAAAATTCTTGAAAGTCAGACTAGTGCTCATCACTTGTAACGATTATTCAGATGTTCCCCGTTGTTTGCGGTTATCAAATCAGGCACGGCTTGCGACAGAACTTAGAAAGACCGTTTCATCTGTGTTGGCAGGTGATAATTGTTCTCACCAGTGGTCACTACAGTACAACCTTACCGGAGGTCGATATTCGAGATCCAACTGTGTATCTATTTGTGTACAAACTGATGCCAACATCATCACTCGACGTTGTGCAATGTCCAACTGACAGAACGTCATTTGAAGAGATTCCAGTCTCGAATATCAACAATCCATTGTATGCTTTGAATTCTTTCTACTCATTCCTCGCTAAAATCCACAAAAATTTTACGGATGACAGGATCGACTACAGCCAGCAATCAGCACCCAATTCTATAATCCAGAATAACACCTTTTTCATGAGTAAAGCAAGTACGTAAAACCAACCTCTCCCTTTCAAAAACTAGCTTACTATTTACCGAGTCATTTATCACTTATCAGTTTCGCACTGTCTGAATCCCCGAATGTCTGCCTCTTTTCCACGACAGTCTTCAGTCTCAACAATGTGCTACTGGGCGTTATGGGCCTGGACATCTTCCTTCTAAAAGTGGAGGACCAGTTTGGCATAGATGCAGGTTCAATCGTGCAAGCTGCAAACAATGACAGCAGAAGAAACCAAGCACCCATGTACGACGCCAAAAATGTGAATATAAGCGTCTGCATGAACCACGTAAGTTGATTTCAATTTTCTGAATGATCGCAGCACTATCCCAGCACAAAAGAACTCATCTTTTCACCTTGAATACCCATCCTTTCCATCGCTCAGACTGACTCTTCGCTGTAACCAACATGCCCTTTCTGATCCACTGTGCAATGCTTTGGAACGCGACTACGCTTGCAGTCGCTTCCATGCGAATCCCTCAAGGACCTCCAGATACCCAACGAGGGTATATGTCCCGTAGTACTGCCGAGTGAAGACCTGTCAGTGCTCAAAAGGCTCAGCTGCTGCGGAGATTGCATTCGCAAAGCGTCGAAAGATTGGCCCATGGGAAAGATAGCTGGAGTTCTCGTCACCGCCGTCGCAGGTGCTGTGGGCATCGTGATACTCGCTACAGGCTTCTGGTACTACTCCTACACTCAAAACTCCTCAATAAAACGTGGAGCTCTGCTGCTAGCAGTGAAGCCACCAGCAGCTGTTGCTGAATCAGGCCAGCTTCGCAAAAAACACGAAGCTGCTGCATCCAGTAGCAAAGCATTACGCTAATGCCGAGCTCTAGCTCTGCACTCCACCGTTGTCGACGCCGAAAAAGTCCTGAGAAGCTTGCAGACATATCTTCTGCTTGTGGATGTTTAGCTGCTTAAGTTGCAGACAAGGGATAGGAGAAACAAGTTTTCGAACCAGGTTACTGGACACACTGAAATGCTCAGAAGTCCTTTATATCTAACAGTTGAGAAAAAGGGGCTGTGGACTGAGGGTGGATTGGTTGTTTATCTGACAAGACTTGGATCTGTTGGAGGGAAATATCAATCGATGGTTGTGTTGCAATGGAATGAGGACAATCTTTCTGCAGATTTATGTAGTTAAATTGTTTGTTTCTTGAGGTTTCTATCATTGAACAACCATGTGATTTGTGTCAAGGTTTGAGGTTAGAAATTTTGAGGACAGTGACGGATGTCGAATGTATAGATCTGTGTAAGTGACAACATCCATTTGTGTGAATATATAAATATATATATATATATATATATATATAGTCTTTTAATTATAATGCTTCACTGGATATAATTTTGTGGATGCTTCAAGTCGGCCATGGTATTGTTTGTAGACCTTTTTTGGTTAAAAAATAGAAGATGATGGTACCCTATTTCCATATGCATCTTATTAAGGAACACTTCTAAAATTTGTGATTTTGGTATTTTTAAGGTGTAAAGAGGACACATGTCTGAAATCCCTTATTCTACTTGTATTTTCTATATATTCACCACAATCTCCTTCTGCCATATAAGTAATATGAATAATGATCATTTTTTTGTTCTAGTTTTATCCTATAAATTGTTATTGTATGTTAAAATTTGGATATAGGATTCTATACCACATGGTGCATTGGATAGAAGAAGACATTAAGTAGTTTTTTTTGGTCATTTATTTATTTATTTTGTTGAAGAAAGTAGCTTCTATCCAATAACTAAGCTTTAAAGATGAAGAATTAGTTTTTATATAGGTCAACAAAAGACATGATTTTTCTTTTTTTAGCCATGTGTATCTTATCATTCAATTATCTTGCATTGTAGAATGTATGTTGGCTCCTTTTTAGTCTCTTCTATTAACTTGTTTAGTCTATTTAATTTTTTGAATAAGAATCTCTTCAAGCCCATAGAGTGATAATAGAATTTAGTATGTTAGAATTTACAATAGTATTTATTTTCAAAGGCGTCTTTCTAGTAGTTGTGAAAAAGATTTGTTTTTTAATTAATTATAATTAGAAAAAAATTCATTTATTATTATAAATTAAAAAAACAATATCTAGAGCCACCGTAGTTTAAAAATAATATTTTAATTTTTGCAATAATAGGATTTAATAAAATTGACCTTGAGTAGGCTTTTTTTAACTTTAAAGATGAGTCTAATTGATTTCTTCATAAGTTGATAAAATATTTTCAATGATGTAATGTAAGAATTGAATATTATCTTATTCTTCATCAATTAATTTAAAAAGAAAAAAATATTTTGTAAGAAATTTGACAATATCTTATATATTGTAATAAGAAGAGTGATAGTCTAATAATATTTTTTCTATTTTAAAAGATAAAGGTAATAGAATCTTATACTACAGATCATAGAAATGTTTGTTTTGCTGTAGAAGCTTGAATGAATTGTGAATAGTCTTTTTAAATAGTATTCTAAATAAATTAAAAAAATATATAATGCCTACTATGATAGATTTTAAAGTTCTATCTTTTGCAAATTACTTTACTTTCTAAGTGTATCTCTTTTTAAAAAACAATTAATTCTAATGAATTCAAAACTGTTTTTTTAATTTTCTAGAAAATTGGTTAATTTTTAAATATAGGACCTCACAATTAGTTAAAATTTTTCTATTTTTTTTTATTTTAAAAAATAAATCCTTTTTAATTCAAGATAAGTTATAATATTTGTACATAATATTTCTATTTATATTTTAAAGCTTTTAGATTTTTATTGTATAATTTTTTTTCTTTGATTTTATAAAAAAACTATACAAATAAGAATCATATGTTGCAATTTATTTGATTCTAATTATTGGGTCTTTTTCCTTTGTTTTGCAGAAGTTATAGTTGAATGCGATTTCTTATCAGAAATTTAATTCTTCTTATAGAAGATGGTTTTGATAGTCTTTAGAAAGACTTGTAAGAATTATTTTAAATCTTGTTTTGTACATTTTTTTCTCTTTTTTATCATGCATAAATCTTATGATAATTTCTGAAACAATTTATTGCTCTTTAAAATTTGAATGTAAAAGCATCAATGTTGGTATGTTTTCATGTGACTTGAATGGATTTTTTAACATAAGTATCTTATAAATATCAAATTTTTATTACTTAAGTTATTTCAAAAATATCTTATTGTATTTTTAAATTTTTTTTTTTTTAAGATATAAGTTTCTTTCAATACCATTCTAATAATGTAAAATAGTTTTATTACAATACAATATAATATAGTTTGTATGTTTTTTCATAATATAATCTCTATCCGTTACTTAATATATATTATTTAGTAGAATAGAATAGAAGTATTTCTATCATAAATTTCTTTCATGATTATCATTTAAAGCATTAAAATTATATATTACAACTTTCATAGTAGAGAATTATTTAAAATCATCTATTAGACCTTATTTTCTAATAAAGAGCCCTTATAAGGATTAACTATTATAGTAGTTAGTTTAAACCATGTGCATTGTTATCACTTAACATGTATTCTTACAACAATGAGAATTTTTAAGGTGATCATCTATATCTTATATAGATTTTTAATTTAAATATCTTCAATAGTCTATTGAATCTCTATATTTTAAAAAATAATTTCATTAATTTCATATATGGTTAATTGATTTTAAAAAATTAAGTTTGACTTCTAATAATTCTATTAGTAATATAGATGTTAGTTGCTACTAAAATAAAGCTTATATATATTTCTTAGAATAGACATTGTTTAACTCTACTATAATATTGTGGATCATTAATGTATTTGTTATTTATTTTATTTTTTGGAAAGATCTTATAGTAAATTTTAGGATTTTTTTTTTTAATCTTATAAGGAATAAAAATCTATACCAACTCATTTTTTTATCTCTTCTAGAATGTATTTATTCTATTTTTATATCACTTATTAGCATTGCATAGAAAAATGAAAGATAAGAAAAGCTAAGGATAAAATCCGTAGCCTTAGAATGTGCAAGGTTTTATAAGACCTTAATTCTACTAATTATATTAGATATAAGTCTGATAGGACATGCTATAAATATATATATCTTTTGATCTACTTTTAAAAAATATCATTTGTATTAATTATTAGATTAAAAGGGATTATCTTTAATTGGTCTTAATTTTTTTATCTAAATTTTCTTGTATTAGGTTAAATGCATTTGACTTTGGATATAAATTTGGATTTAAATCACCTACTATCAAGATTACAAAGATATTAACTTATGATTTTAAAAGCAATTGTATAACTTGAGTTTCTAATACCAATGTTATTGGAGTGAATTCTTGATTCTAATTGATAAAAAGTAGTAGAAAATTTTTAAAACTATTTTTGATTATTATTTTTATAAAAATAATAGGAAGTAAAAATATACTTACATCTTCAAACATAATAGTTGGATCTTTTGATTGCTCATTGGAACTGAGTAAGATTTGTAGAACAAAAAAGTTGATTGAAAACATTGATTAAACAATCTATCATTGAACATATTATATTTCTATATTTTATTATATTTTTAGATTACTTTACCTAATTTAGATATAAATAGAAGCTATGGTATGATAAAAAATATTATTAGAAATTTGTTGCAAAGTATGAAATAAGCTATTATAGCTTTTTATTTTTATATTTGTATTACATTGGTGTAGATATCAAAACTATTAAAAATAGTCATATTGACTAGTATATTTATTTAAATAAATAAAACTAAGTAGAAATAAAATTAGGTTAAATTATTTATTTCTTATTAGAAAGCTTCTTTGAAGCTCTATAAACTTCACACATGTTTATAAGTTATTAGTAGGTTGACAACTTAGCTACTAACTTGGCTACTAACTTGGCCATATGTCACACGTTTAGCTATTTGTATTACAAGTTGGCCATATAGCTCACGTATTAAAAACTTGTCCTACAAATAAGACATATATCTCACAAGTTGGACACATGTCATATAACCTATATGACATTGCTATGTAATTTTTTAATAGATAACATACATGAAGGCAAAAATAAAGCCTTCCTTACTCAATTCAATATATTTTATGTGTTTTATCTTTATTCAAGAGTTTTTAGTCTTTTTACCATTAATAGTAGCTATTCTAGTTTCAATTCTATATTAATCTTTTAATTATCTAATTTCTTTTTTTTGATAATATAAAAGTATATTTTTATTTTTAATATTATTTTTTGGCTTATATTTTTGATAGGTTAATTAGAGTATTAATTTTTATCTTATGTTTTTTAGAAGTGAGTAGATTATTTTACTTCTTATTATTATGTTTTAAAGATTGGAAACTATTTACTTTTAAATTAATTTTAAAATTTTTATAATTTTATAATTTTTATAATTTTATAATTTTATAATTTATTTACATCATTTTTCAATAAAAATTAATATTATTATTATTTTTAAATATATTTAATATTAGAAGTTATAAATTATCCTTTTTTAATTTTATTTTTAGATTTAAAAAAAATATTATAAATTTTTTTAAAAAAAATTATAGATACTATAATTAGTTAAAGTCAGAATAAATTTTCAATTATTTTAGATCTTTTCCAACTTTTTAATATTCATAAGTTAAATTTTTCATATATTATCAATTTCTACCATAGAAGTACTATTTCTACATCTATAAAAAAATTCAACAATGAGATCTAATATCTATACCAAGAAGTCATAAAGTTGAAAGAAACAAGTAAATCAACATCATAAATAAATCCAAAATGTCTTCCTATTAAAAATATGAAGAAATCAACAATTAGTATGCTAAAAAAGTTTGATGGAAAAAGATCAAAATTTTAAAGATTTATACAACAAGTGAAGCTCTATTTATGATTATATCTTTCTAAATATCTTCATAGATTTACTCAAGTTAGATTTTTAAACACATGCTTGTCAGAAAAATTGCTCTCTTAATTTGAACTTTTGATGAAAAAAAATTTAAAACTCCTATATGATCTAAATTCATTTTTGAAAGTATTTATAATTATATTTGGAGAAACAAATTCTAATCTTTATAACAAGAATTACAATTTTCTATTTTTTAAATTGTAAAATTTCAAAATCTTACTTATGATAT